CAGGCACCGACACAGCAGTACATCGGTCAGGGAGCACACAAAACACCCACACACACGCAACCGAGGCGACCAGGACAGAGAACCCCAGCTTAGATGATGAGCAGCAGAACGCAGGACGCGGACGGTGCCTCGATCAGATTCAGCGACCACACACTGGACAAGGCCACCAAGGCCAAGGTGACGTTGGAAAACTACTACAGCAACCTGGTGACGCAGTATGGCGAGCGGAAGCAGCGCCTGGCGAAGCTGGAGGCGCAGTTGAAGGACGAGAGCCTGTCGGAGGCGCAGCGCCAGGAGAAGCGGCTGCAGCATGCCCAGAAGGAGACCGAGTATCTCCGGCTGAAGCGATTGCGCCTGGGCGTCGAGGATTTTGAGGCGCTGAAAGTCATCGGTCGCGGCGCCTTCGGTGAGGTGCGTCTGGTCCAGAAAAAGGACACGGGACATGTGTACGCCATGAAGGTGCTGCGCAAGGCAGACATGCTCGAGAAGGAGCAGGTGGCCCATGTGCGCGCCGAGCGGGATGTCCTCGTCGAGGCCGATCACCAGTGGGTGGTCAAGATGTACTACAGTTTCCAGGTGAGTGACGAACGTCAGCTGCAACAACAACAATGGCCATAGCGGGTGGGCGGTCGAAAAGGGGGCGGACAGCGCGCATAACAAAAGAATTGTGTTAAAACACGGACAAAAAATCAATAAACCAATACAAGTGCAAGTGCCAAAAGCGCCTTGCCAATCATATGGTCACGTCTCTCTTTCTCTCGCTCTCTCTCTCCGCCTTTGTTGTTGTTTTTCGCAGTTCTCTTTCCTCCACTTCTTCTCGGTGAAAGTTCTTGCTACAGGCGTACCTGCCTAAAGTGAATGCTCATTGGTCACCCATTAGATGGTTAGATAACATAAATCTCAAGTGAAAATAAGGACCCATTAGGCTATGAGAAACTGTGTTCAGCTTACATGCAACACACATAAGTATACGCTGTTCTAAGCGTCCCATTGCGTAGGGTAATCCAAAAGGCAAATAAGTCTTCAATAAGATATCTCTCCGCATCCGCAAAAAGTTTTCTTAGTCAGTAGCATAGGAAGTAGTTCTTATATCTGTCTTGTCAATATCTATTTAATGGGATTTCCTTGTTCATGTTTTACAGTTGAACCTCAATAAGATCTTTTTTCAGTCAAAAGTTGTATAAATCGAACTGGTTTTATTTCCAATAGAAAGTATAAATTCATTTTATCAATTGTATTGCCTTTTTATTTTGTGGGTTCCTAACTATGGCAGTTAAAGTTGTTAATATATCGGTCTATAAGAATTTGAAATAATTAAAAAATGAGATATAGATTCATATTTTAAATGATAAACTACTAAGTATGTGGTATTAAAAGACAATATTTTAGGCACCCTCAGTGAGAATTTCATTAGAAACGGATTTTAACCAACTTGTAAACATAATAGGATCAAGTCAATTTATATTTGATAATGGAGTTCTTGCCTGGTGGTGATATGATGACGCTTTTGATGAAGAAGGACACACTATCCGAGGAAGGCACACAGTTCTATATCAGTGAGACGGCACTGGCGATCGACTCAATTCACAAACTCGGTTTCATACACAGGGACATCAAGCCCGATAACTTACTGCTGGATGCGCGAGGGCATCTCAAGGTAAGCTGGAGTTCAGATAACTTGGATATGAGTACTAAAAGCAAATTCCAACATTATTTAGCTCTCTGACTTCGGACTTTGCACTGGCTTGAAGAAGTCGCATCGAACAGACTTTTATCGGGATTTGTCGCAGGCGAAACCATCCGATTTCATTGGCACTTGTGCCAGGTAAGTATTAATGGTATTATCTACTTGGGAATACTAATTGGCTTGCCCTATCACGCAGTCCCATGGACTCGAAGCGACGGGCCGAGTCGTGGAAGAGAAACCGACGCGCCCTCGCCTACAGCACGGTGGGAACGCCGGACTATATTGCACCAGAAGTATTCCTGCAGACTGGCTACGGACCCGCCTGCGACTGGTGGTCCCTGGGCGTCATCATGTACGAAATGCTGATGGGCTATCCTCCGTTCTGCTCGGACAATCCCCAGGACACTTATCGCAAGGTGATGAACTGGCGAGAGACGCTGATATTTCCCCCGGAGATTCCCATCTCGGAGGAGGCCAAGGAGACGATCATCAACTTTTGTTGCGAGGCCGATCGCCGGCTGGGTTCCCAGCGCGGTCTCGAGGATCTGAAGTCAGTGCCGTTCTTCCGGGGTGTGGATTGGGAGCACATACGAGAACGTCCCGCGGCCATACCCGTTGAGGTGCGCTCAATCGACGATACGTCCAATTTCGACGAGTTTCCCGATGTGTCGCTGGAGATACGTAAGCATTCTACTAACGGAGAGGCAAGTCAGATAGTTCATGATTCCCTATTGCAGCATCGGCACCCATACCGCAGGGCGGTGAGATTGCCAAGGACTGGGTCTTTATCAACTACACGTACAAGCGATTCGAGGTGCGAAATTTGGAGTGAATTCCGAACAGGACTTGGAACAGGAATCATAGCCAGATCCGGAGCAGGAGCAGAAGCAGCTTGAAGGTTGCCGCACTTTGCCACCCATTTTATCACCACCACAGCCGTCGTCTCTCTAACACCATCACCACCAAGAGCATACTCCACGCTAAACGAAAACCCCAAGTTTCCTTTTTGAATGTCTTACCTACATGTGTATTTAAATACTAGCTAACATTTGTGATTCCAAACAAAAAGAAGAATATGATAACGCGAACAAACGATGTATTGTATGTAAAAAAGTTTTGCTTAAAGCGTCACCCGCGCCTCGGGTTAGGTTAAACGCTATACTAATCTCCCCCATGTCCTTCCATTGGCTTTGTTCAGTCCCTATCTTAACCGTTTAAACGTTGTGTTTGTAAACCAGTACCCCATTAAGGACCCATTTGGCAATTCTTTATATATATATATATTGTTTACTTCATTGGGCAGCAGCAAAATACCCATAAATTTATTATTTAGCCAATTGAGAAATGTTATAACTTTTAGGCACGTTAATTATACGTATATGTTTTGTATCGATTTATTATGAAACAAAGTCTTAATACATAGTAAAACCTAAAACCACACAAAACGCAATTGCAAAAACGGATCGAAAATCTATCACACAAATTAGTTACTAATGCCAACAGCAACAAAAGCGAATCTAGACAGCAAAATAAACAACAGTATGTTTAAATATCGGTTTCGTTCTATGTACACATAACCCGCCACCCCACCCACTCCCACGGATACGAATATATATTTAAAAAACCATTCTACTGTAGCTCTTCCCGCTGGAGTTTTAAGTTCCACGTAATTGTAGTTTGAGCAAAAAGTGAGTTATTGAACAAGTTACCGAGTTACCGCTGGCAAGTATAAATTTAATTACATAGCAAACACTCTACCCCGAGCAGTTGCAGAATGCAAACTTAAAATAATTGATAATATACCTATAAATAAATTAAACGAATAAACAAGTTTTAAGAAATTATTTTTGGTAATAGAATACAATAATAGTAAGCATACTGATAATTCGATAATAATGCTACACAGCAACATGAAATGCAATAATAAATGAAACATGTGCATAATAACTAACAATTACAAACGAGTACAGTGGTTCGTTTTATTTCGACCATGGAAAAACATGAACTTAGTACTTACAGCGGTCCTATCCCCATTCCTCAAGGTCCTAGTGATTAGGATCCACATTAAAGTTTAGAAAATGGTCCTACCGCAGAAATTTCATAATCATCACTGAAATATTCCCAAAGATCAAGCAAAAAACACTTGCTATTAAATTTCAAAAAAAATTTCTATTGGAGTCCTGTCTTTAAAAATCTAACACGGGATTTAGGATATCTAGTGTCTGGATTTTCAATCAATTTGAGAGGAACAATCTTAAATTTTGGTAGGGATGTTTCCAGTAGAGTAATAATCTGAAACTTATTGCACACATAAAATCATTTTGAAAATTGGTGAAATTTACCAATACGGATGGTTACGTAACCGTAAACAGTGGAGTTGGTTACTATTTGAAAAGTAAGCATACCATAAAGTTGTAAGTTGTGTATTTCTATGTTGGGAGAGTAACTATTTCGTTGGTCAGATTGAAGATTCGATGGGTTGGGACCATTTAACTATTATATTGGTCAATTTTACCTAAAAGTGTTTTGTATCCATATGGTAAACCCTATGATCTTTGGCCTAAATTGTAAAGTATCGAAATTGGCGCCCAAAATGAATGAATAACTAAGCAGGCCTGAGGAAACCAGAAATTAACACGACAAAAAGGTAGGCTTTGTACATTTAAATGTATGTATATATTTTTGTTGATCTTTTCATCTGCACTTCTCTCGCTATCTCTCTATCTGCACTTGCGCTCGATTTTGATTTGTGTTCTGTGTGCCGTGTGAGTGGTTGTTGTTCTGGTTATTTTTGCAGTGTATCTGAACAGCGTTGTTTGGTTTTAATTGAATGCAACATCCGAAACCATTACAGACATGAAAATAAAGATTTCAAATTGGTTTGCTCAGGCGGGAGCCTGAAAATCGAAAGTAAATTGCTTTGCATCTGGGAAATGTCGCGTGTGTGTCTTGTGTGTGTGTTTCGGCTGTGGTTTCTCTCTGTGTACGTGACGGGTGTGTGCGTGAATCGGAATATATAGCTAGTTGTTTAAAGATATTATTATATATATATATACTACATATATAAATGTATTAGCATATGGAGACTACAGACTATAAGAATTGTTACATCAGCTGGGGGGCGTAGGCGAAAACTTTACAAACGGGAGAAGGGGGAAAACCCTACGAGACACATTTACACACAGCTAACAAACTGTAAAATTGTTGATTTTCGGTTTTCGATTTTCAGCTATATGTTTACATTTCGGTTCGATTACTGTGCGGGCATATATGTAATTGGAATTCGGATTGCGTTTACTTCGTACTGTGGTTGTTTTTGCTTGTTTGAAATCTTTATTGGATGCTTGTAACGGGCAGTAGTATCCATAAAATTATAATGGTAAAATGTTAAAAGTTTAACTATGCGCTTAGAGTCTAATGAAAAGTGTATACATAGACGAATATGTATGGTAGTTTCAGAATTTTTTATCTTCGCTTAGGTTTTCTCTAGTTGTTTTTTCACTGTGGGCAATTGTGTGTGTTTTTTTATGGGGTGCGGGGAGCTGGGTGACTGTGACTGGATGTTTGGGGTCTCTTGTTAGTTATGCTATGCGCTTTGCAACTATTATTAATTTAATTTAATTTAAATTGAATTACAAGTAATCGGTTTAGTTTTCTTTACTTTCAAATCGTAGCTTAATTAATTCTCTACGCCTTTGCACTTGCTTTGATTTTCGCTTGCTACATTTTTCTCTTTTTTTAATTAATTTTATTTTCGTTTCGCTTGTTTTTGTTTTTTTTTTTGCTGGCTTGCCCTACGTTCAATAGTAAAATGTATATATATTTATATAGTTATATGTACGTTAAGAATTACATTAATGTAGGACATAAGTCTAAGAGGATGCAGGCTTGCTAATGGGGACGGGGATTCAATGGAGTGGGACTGGGATCGGGGTGGGAGTCCGTTCAGTATGGACTTCAGGGGGAACTTTTTATAATCGTATTAATTAGTAGTAAAATTTGTATGTACAATTCGTTACGTTGCTTAGGACTGATCGTCGATCAACAGCATGACCTGTTGCGTTGTCGTTTGTGGACTCCTTGTGCACTCCACCTGGTGAGCATTCCAATCCTTCCGCTGGCAGAACTCAGAACAGTATGGCGTCTTCCGGCACAGTGAGCACTCGGCCAATGCTTCGCGGTTGCAGTTGGCGCACTATTTCAAATTTAAATATAGATTAGTGAGCTGGTAATTAAATATCTTTTAAATCTTAGGAAAAGTATAAAAATCTTTCGAATTTAAAAATTCCAAGCAACAGGAACTTATAATATAAAAATAAAAAAAATATAGCTTCATAGAGTATAAATTTAGTGGCTGAGATCGGAAAATGGTAAAAGTATAGCAGAATTCGTAGTTTTAGTGCTTTAAAGGATATCTTTTTGTTATAAATACTCTAAGAAATGCCTAGTTTACATATGATTTAGATGAGATGTAGTTGTTCAAGTAGAATAAAATCATCTTTGTTAAAGAAACCATTTTCGGTTGAAACGAATTTCTTAGATGCCTATATTTATAATTTTTCTTTATCCAAATGGGTTTTGTGGTACCTTCTTGGCCGAAATGATCTCGTTGCCGTGCAGAGAGCCGGATATATTCGGGTCATCGATGTCCGCGTGCACCTGAACTCGCATCGCACTGACCGCAGCATCGCGCTCCTTCTGCAGAACCTCGAGGCGGCGCTCGTAAGATTGCTTCATGTCGTTAAGCAGGCGCTTGAAGTCATTGGTCGCCTTGACCATGGTGCAGTAGACGTGTTCGATGTTCTTCATCGATTGACTGGTGTCCAGGACGGCGATGGAGGATCCATCGTTGATGTTCACCACAAACGTTTCCCGTTCGTAGGTGTTGCCCATCTGCGACTGGTCGACCAGCTCGGTGGAGGTGTCCAGGCTGTCGTTAAGTGCTGCCCACGGCTCGTCCTTGGACGTGATGTTCTCCTCCGCCAGGAACATGTTGTTCTCATCCACCACGCTGGCTGTTGCTGCAGCCACAGCGGCGGCCGTCACATCCACACAGTTGTTTGCTCCACTCCCGCTCGTGTTGTTGTTATTGGTATTATTGTTGTTGTTATTACTATGATGGGCATTTCGCTTGCGCTTGGGTCCAGAATCCATGTCGAGATCAGTTTGATTCCGCTTCCGCCGCTTGTAGGGCGTGAAGAGACGGACAGGGCCGGAAGCTAAACAAAATGACCGTGTAAGGGGGTTAAACAAATGTTTGTCATTGGTCAAGAGGTGCACATTGGACTCGGCAAAACAGGATAAGCATAGAGTACTGACTGAATACTTATTCAAAAAGACAATTGCATTTTCTTTTGAGTCTTAAGGGGAGTTCACTTCTCAAAAAGTTTGATAACGGACGTCTTAAATGGATACAAGTGAATTGACACCAAGTAATGAGCTATTCCGAATTAGTAAAAAAATACATTTGATGTAAAGTGCCTGTTAAAATTGATTTTGAAGTAACGTTATTACTTGTCATCAAGAGCAATCAGTGTTGAATTGCTTTTAATTAACAGACGAGATGTAAACTCGATAGTTTTTGCTAGCAATGCTAACATATCTGTAATTTTAAAACATCCGAATAAAAATTCTAGTTTACTGTATTCCTTTTTAATCGATTTTGATTTGAATATGAAAGATTTGGTATTTAAAAGGGAATTAATAACAAATGTAATTCTAAATTCTATCCAGTTTCCCAAATGGTTTTTTATTGGGTAATACATTATATGTTTTTCATTAAATGTTATCTAATGTCAAAACCTATTTTTCCAACACTAAGGAGTGTCCTTAAAAGACAGTAATTCACCCTTTCGCATTAGTGAATCGGTATCCCAAAATAAATGACAAATTCTTGTGACAAGCTCTCCGGTTTTGCCCGAGTCTCCTGTACTTGTGATGGCATGGCGGAGCGGATGACCAGATTCAGGTGACCAGAACCCGGTCCGCCATGCCGCAGTATGTAGTAAATGTTGTTCATCTCACCTGACTCACCTGCTTCGTCGTCGCAGCAGACCGTGCAGCTGCAGTTGGTCGCGTGCGGCGTGAGCGTACCTTCGTCGATGAGCGACTGCAGCGACTTGCCGCCATACTTGATGGAGCGCTTCCAATCCTTGCTGGATCCCCGGCCGCACACGTGCTCGAATTCACTGGGCGTGTGCCACTTATCCTTGTACTTGACGCAGCGTCCACGGCCGCCGGAGCCCAGTTTGCTGCGGTATAGTTCGGCGCAGGTGGTTTTGCAGCGGATCTGGAAGACCTCCATGTGCTGGGTGGACGGGTTTTCCGACCAGCTCGAGGAGCCACCACCCGTTCCACCGCCACCGCCACCGCCACCAACGCCACTCGCTCCACCGGTGGCGTGCTCCAAGGTGGCCAGGCTATCGTGGCTGTTATTGCTCCCGGAGCCATCGTGGTTCAGTCCAATCGTATTGGTGGCGGTCGTATTGGTGCCCGCACTATTGGCGCCACCACCGCCGCCTCCGCCGGGTTGCGTCTGCTGCTGCTGGATGACGATCGTTTTGAGGTCGTTGCCCATGCTGACCGTGCCGCCGGACAGGTAGCCATTGTTGTCGACGCACAGCATCGGCTTGAAGTGGGGCAGCTGGTCGGGCGTGATCACATTGAAGGTGGTGCCGGTTATCATCGATCCGATGGGCAGGGATACGGGCACCGAAACCACACCGCCTCCGCCCGCTCCGCTCGTACCGCCGCTGGCGCCGCCGCTGCCGCTGTTGTCGTTGGAGGAGGATGTGACCATGCGAACCTTGGTGTCCAACTGCATTACCATAGCGCACATATTACCACGTTCGTCACATGTATGTGGGTGAATGTCCAGCGGCCAATTGGTAACGTTTGCGATTTATTTCGATGCGATTTGCACAGGAATCGAGGAAGAAAATTCGAATGTAAGTAAACAACACAGCATGGGAAAAATGAAAATCGGTATACACAACATTTGTGCGCCACAAATGCGGTGGGTGGAGGTGGTTGTGGGGGGCGGCGGGACGAGAGGGGGGTGGCTGTGTGGCCCAGTGGGTCGCATGGAGCGTTCGTAGGGCGCAAGTTGCGCCACCCCCAGGCCACCCAACCGCCCAACCACCCACCACCCACTTTCCACAACTGCGCAGAGCGAAGCGGAGCGGTTTTCGAGCCAGATTCTATTTCGGATTCAGATTCAGATGTAGAACCTGAACCACACACGGTCTGGAACCAAAACCACCCCGCCAAAGGCAAGAGCCAAACACGGGAAATGGAAAAGGCGCCTCGTTTGTTGCTCATTTCCATTTGGTTTACCCTACCTGATGGTGATGATGATGATGGTGATGGCCCGGGCTTTCTAATATCACCTCTTCTTTCACAACATCATCGGCCAGCGCGGCCAGATCTTTCCTGTTCAGGTGCAGCTCAGTGGAGGAGTCGACCTGTTCCATATTATTGTTATGCCAATCCCAGTTCACTTTCACTTATTCTTCGGGCCAATGTTAACGCGCTTGAATTGTTCATCGAATTGCAACTTGCAATTGGATACGATATATCTTATTCGACGTCTGACGACGGACGGGACGGTCTGTTGTGTTGTTGTTGCTGCTGCTACTGCTGCTGCCGCCCGCGATGCGCGTTTTTTCCCGCGCTCACCACTCACATGCGAATTGCGCGTTGGTCGCTTTCTCGTTGCATTGCCCTATTTACAGCTCTTGGTTCATTGCAAATTACATTTTTTAAGCCTAAACTTTACTAAAATTCGTCTCCAAAAGTTGATATCCTCCTCTTCTTCCTCATGATAACTAGAGTTGTCATGCGCGTTGCACTATCGCCTGCTATCGACGCCTATCGATAGGCGCGCTTCGTGCTTGCTGGCCTTGTCCCACCTCTGGATTTCGTAATTCGAAAGTTTAACTGATATCTGTGGGTTTTTATTTGGATATTTTTTTTAAATTAAAAACTGAAGTAGGATACTTTTTTATGGTTTGACTTAGCCTCAAGTTACTTTTCAAAAGAAATCTGAAGTAAGCGAGCTCATACCATTAACTATTAACATTTTTTGGTCAATTTTCTTTCATTAAACAACATTTCTTTTAAATATGAGAATTTTCATTAGTTAATTAACATTTAAAAACGAATTGTTATATTTGTTGTATGCCGATGACTCATCTCTAGCATCGATACTTTATTGGAGAAGTAAACAGTAAACGGTCTTACTAATAATAAAATGGTAAAAACTGGTAACGATATGGTGCTGAGCAGCTTTTGATAAAAACGCAATCTTTTCAGGCCGATGTGGATGTCTTTATCAGTAACTACACCCTAGTGGATCCCGAAATCTATCAGCTATGGATCGAAGGATTCTCTTGTATGTCAACTGCTCGAGATTGCCACCTGAGTAACTCCTACGATTTGCCTTTTCAGCCAGCGAGGCCGTGTCCTATCTGAAACAGAAGGGCTTCGGCCATTCAATGGGGGCTCCCAGCGACCTGATTGCATCCGATGTCCTGGACCACTACCGCACCTATTCCCTGATTGAGCTCTATCTGAATGCACCCACAAAGCTGATGGAACAATCCTGCTTCCAGCTGGAGCCACATATGCGTGACCTAATCACCGAGAAGTATTACTCCATCGATGATGTGGTGGCGCGCGAAATACTCGGAAAGAAGCTGACATCCCGCTACCGCAAGGATCTAGACGAGGTGGCTGAAAAGACGTGCGTCAAGCTGAAGTCGGTTCGGTGGGTAGATTGGGCGTTAAATATATGGAAGGTCTGATATATTTGATATCCCTTAACAGGCGACAGTTTGACAACGTAAAACGCATATTCAAGTCCGTGGAGGAGATGCCCGGCACGCTGACTAACAATATAAAGCAACATTTCTTCATATCCACCGATCTGGCCAAGTATAAATCTTACATTTGTTCCATCACCCACATAATTAACCATTTAAATGTTGTAGAAAGTATGCCTGCATTGTTTTCCTGGCATGTCTACGTTTTGAAACCACAAAAAAGAAGCTGCAATATCTCAGTTTCAGCGATTTGTTGACTTGCTCCCATGCTATAATGATCTACTGGACCTACACTTACCAGGCATGACTAAATTCATTAAATTCCTTGCGGTACTAACTGATTGATTGCAGCACACTGGACCGGAATATTATGACACCGAAATGGATAAAGAGTTCCTGTTGGATTTGCGGGAATTGCGCTGTCTACTGGATAAGGAAAAGGAAATTAAGCAGTAAGAATAACTTATACTGTCAAGGATTTCTTAAATATATATAGTCTTTGTCCTTAGCCTTGTCTGCATGCGCCTCAAACCCGTTCTTCTAGAGCGCGCCTTTCACGAGCTAGATGGAAATTTTAGGTAAGTACGTTTCTCCAAAGAATCTCAACATTTAATAATTAAATTCTGCCTATTTTATAGATCCTACTGGCGAGCTTTGATCACAATTGCCTGCAATTTGCACAGGAATCGGGAGCTACGCGATCTGTTCGTCGATCTCTGTGAAAAACTGATTGATCCTTGGCGGCAGAATGGCTGGAATCGCGAGCAAGTGAATAAGTTCCTTGCTTCCATAACGCAAAGCGTCTTGGATCTTGAGATATCTAGGTGGGATCTTGTCAAGAGAGTTTGTTGTTCTTAATGAACCATATATTTTTTGCAGAGACCAGGAGACTCGATGTCTTTGGGATCGTTACATGCAGGTCATAACGTTATGCTTGGATAAAATGTATCACATTTGAGCTGTGATTGAAATTAGGAACAACTTTAAATAGTACTTTTTAGTTTAGTTGTGTTTGTTTCGATTTGTGTTAATTTTTATATATGACATGCCATTGTGTAATACCCAAATATAACAAAAAGATCATATTAAATAATACAAGTTAATTAAATATTACAGAATATTTCATTGGCTTTGTTAACCTCTTAAGATAACCTATCCTTTTGTAATACATATTCAAATACACGTATACCGTTGTGAGTTGGCGCCAATTATTCGGCATAATAAAAAATAGTATATTTAAGGAAAACCGTGGTATATTTAGGTACATATGGTATATTTTTCAACAACGTTCACACTGGCGATTCCGAAGGTGGAAAATGCAGGAAAAGCTTGCAACAAATTGTGGCCAGACTCCACTTCCGTTATTATTCGGGCGCCAGCGGCGTTAATGTTAGTAAACAAACTGAAGGGTCTTCATCAAAGAGAACATAATTCGCCTCGTAGAACCGTTATTGATTGGCGATGGAAGTGCCAGAGTTTTGGTAAGCCCCATTGAAAAGTGCATTGCAAATTACACACATTACATAAAATAAGGTGCGAGTGTGTGTTAAGCACCTACACAGAAATACATTCGCGAAAAAACGCACACACTCACAAGTTCGCCAGGTGGGTGTGTGAGTGTGAAGGGAGGAAGCAACAGTTGACGCCCGTTACATGGGAATCCCACCCACTAGCCCACCAAATAACGGGGTTGTTTTTAATTCATTGATTTGGTTTCGTTTTATTTTAGCGAAAATCTGGAGGAGATCGAAGATGAAACTTTCGATGAGGAAAAGTGCGCGAGAACCTCAGATGAAAATCGCAAGTAAGAATCAACAATACACTTACATATGTAAATTCATTGGTTTATTCGAATTTACAAACTAAAGATCCCAATAAATCTTTATTTACAACCCAATTTAATATCAAGCATTTATAGTATTACTTGTTTTCCAATCCTATGATGTTACATATTATTTTTGATTGGATTCCGGCAAACATAAGTATATATAAATCATAATAAAACATTGTATTCGGTTATTTAAATTTGTAATTAAAATATTTAAGGTCTATAATGCGAAAACGGCCTCTCAAGTGATATTTGTTAAATAAAAAAAACTACAAAATATTTATATTTTAATTAAAATAAGTGAAACAAATTTGACAATATGAATGCCAGTTTAAATCGATCTGTTAATATATGTACATTAGGGTGGTACAAAGGTTCAAGCATAACTCCTTATTTCAATTTATTGTTCATTAAAAAAAGTATTCTCCCATTTAGGCAGAATCACAGCGAGATCGAGAAACGGCGGCGGGACAAGATGAACACGTACATAAACGAACTGTCCTCCATGATTCCCATGTGCTTCGCAATGCAGCGGAAGCTGGACAAGCTGACGGTGCTCCGGATGGCGGTTCAGCATCTACGGGGGATCCGTGGCAGTGGCAGTTTGCATCCGTTCAACGGATCCGACTACCGGCCCAGCTTCCTTTCGGACCAGGAGCTCAAGATGATCATCTTGCAGGCTTCAGAGGGATTCCTGTTCGTTGTTGGTTGTGACCGGGGACGCATCCTGTACGTCTCAGACTCGGTGTCCAGTGTGCTAAACAGCACCCAGGCGGATCTGATGGGACAGAGCTGGTTCGACGTCCTGCACCCGAAGGATATTGGCAAGGTCAAGGAGCAGCTGTCATCACTGGAGCAGTGTCCCAGGGAAAGGCTAATCGATGCGAAGAGTGAGTGTCCAGAAAGTAGGAGGTTTTATTCAGTTCTAAAGATCTCTCTCCGTAGCCATGTTGCCCGTAAAGACCGACGTCCCACAGAGCTTGTGCCGCCTGTGTCCTGGTGCCCGGCGATCCTTCTTCTGCCGCATGAAGCTGCGCGCCGCCAACAACGAACAGATCAAGGAGGAGTCCGACACTTCCTCCAGCTCCCGAAGCTCCACGAAGCGCAAGTCTAGGCTGGGTACGGGCCACAAGTACCGGGTGATCCAATGCACGGGTTACTTAAAGTCTTGGACTCCCATCAAGGACGAAGATCAGGACGGCGACAGCGACGAGCAGACTACGAATCTTTCCTGCCTGGTGGCAATAGGACGAATCCCTCCCAATGTACGCAATTCCACTGTACCCGCCTCGCTGGACAATCACCCGAATATTCGGCACGTGCTCTTCATCTCGCGACACTCCGGCGAGGGAAAGTTCCTGTTTATTGACCAGCGGTATGTTCTATTGTGGGTTGTTAAAAATCCGAATCAGTATTTATCTTTTTTCCCTGCAGCGCCACCCTCGTCATCGGTTTCCTTCCCCAGGAGATCCTGGGAACTAGTTTCTACGAGTACTTTCACAACGAAGACATCGCCGCCTTGATGGAGTCCCACAAGATGGTGATGCAGGTGCCGGAGAAGGTCACCACGCAGGTCTACCGCTTTCGGTGCAAGGACAACAGCTACATTCAGCTGCAGAGCGAGTGGCGGGCCTTTAAGAATCCCTGGACGAGCGAGATTGACTACATAATTGCAAAGAACTCGGTCTTCTTATAAGGCATACGAACGTTCCTAAGGGGAACGATTATTTTATTTATTATATACACTTACCATTACAATCCAAAATTTGTATACATTCCAAAGATCATCTTCCGCATCGAGTTGCTGGCGCCAGCGGTTGAAACTCCATATTCCGATGTACAGACTCTATTTAATGATAAGCTCGTCATTTTTGTACCACATCAATTAAATTAACGGACAACTTTTAAAAAAGATTAACTCAGATAAGAATGATTCGAACCTTTATTGTGCGATCGTGGGAACAATCTTAATTTCGGCTAATCAAGTTTTCTACATGGCTCTCTTTCGACCAAGTGTCGAAAAGAGAGGTCGTTGTAAATTAAAAACACCAAATAGTTCTTAGCCAAGCACGTTTTGGACGTGATCGTTGCTCGAATTTCTTCGGGCACATAACTACTCATGATACATATGTATAGAGCGACATGTGTGTATTTGGTTTATCAACTGAGACGGGCTTTTTCGCCCGTTTTTTGTTTCGTTCAATTTTTTTTGCTTGCACTATCAATAGACCCACATGGAAAGGCGGCAGCCCAGGCGCGTGGGTTTGTCTGGGTCTGGGTCTGCCTGCCTCTCTCGTTCATTGGATTCGGGTTCGGAATTAGTTGGCATAGAGCTGGCGAGGCGTACGGACGCTCTGACACTTGGCTCCCTAATAAATAATTGGACAAAAGCCCTGCTTGGGTGACGGTTTCGGTTTCGTTTTCGGTGGTCACTAAAGATATATTGAAATGAGTGCCCTCATATTTCTGTGCGCGATTCTAATTGGTTTCGTGATTTATTCACTTATCAGCTCGGTGCGGCGTCCCAAGAACTTTCCCCCAGGTGAGACCATGTTTATGTTCCCCGAGGGATATGTACAAAATTGTAGTTTTTCGCTGGAAATCTTAAAATAGATAAGGATTTTCGAAATAAAATAGAATTTGCTTTTATAAATGAAGGGTAGCTTTAATAGAGCTAGAAATATTAAAATTCGGAGAATTACTTTACCGAGTTTTCTTATCTTCGTTACAGTTTACCTTTCCTTAAAAAAACTTAAAATTAAAAGAGTATATTATATATTCGCTTATATAACTTATAATTAGATTCGGGATAGGCTCGACATATACCTTCAGTGAATAGAACGTAACATACGACCTGCCCCACGACCAATTGGTCAGCTCATTAGCAACCTGTAATGGTGATCAGAGACATCGGCGGATAACCAGACGGCACACCACTCGAATGCTAATAAATCTCATTGATAAAATCGTCACACATTTCTGACACCTGGCCTAACTGGTCTGCATTTGCTAATAACAAGGGCCAGGCTGATTTATTCCAATTACAAATGCAGTTTATTTGCATTAGGATTGGGATTATGAGTGCAATGGCTCCCCTATATATAGGCAGATTTTTATTATTTGTATATATTTCGCAAATTTGCAATTCAAATTGAGTTATATTAGTAAACGACTTAGGGAATTTTCATCACTTAGCGAAAAAATCATATTACCTTTAAATAAGTAGTAGTTATGAAATTCAGTGAAGTTACGAGATTTCCGAGAATGTGGCTGGTTAATAGTTAATAACTAACGGTGGTTGATTTCAAGATAGAGTTTTCATTTTCGATTCGGTAATTTACCATCTGACAGATTTTTGTTGAGCCGATTAGATTAGCAATAGGCATAAACAACATAGTTCAATTTGCAGTATTAGGCCTTTGTGAAACCCTATTACCACCTAAGTAAGTTATCAAGTTACATATATCCAGAAGGTTTTTATTAATTCTATTCCAATTAAATATTATTATCCACTGAGTCAGGTTATGTCACTAACATTTTGGTTAATCCTATACAAATAAAATATTACTATTTATTTTATAAATAAACTTGTTTTTTGTTTGGCTTATATTACTAAATCCTTTCAAAATTCTTTTCCAAAACAGGTCCTCGTTTTCTACCATGGCTGGGTAACACTATACAGGTACATTACTAATATTTTCAATTAAAACATGTTATCTATAATAATATAAAACTATAGTTTATAATGTGATTATATCTCAAATGTGTGCTTAAATATTTGTTCTAATACCTAAAATGAATGTGACTAAGATATATACCGATCCTTTATACATATGAGTAATATTAATACTCATTTTTATTTTCAGTTCCGTAAGGAGGCCCGTGCCCTCGGCGGTCAGCACATCCTGTTCGAGCAGTGGGCGCAGGATTTCCGGAGTGACCTGGTGGGACTAAAGCTGGGCAGCGAGTACGTGGTGGTTGCTCTCGGTCACGAAATGGTCAAGGAGGTACAGCTGCAGGAGGTGTTCGAGGGACGGCCTGATAACTTCTTCCTGCGTCTGCGGACCATGGGAACCCGGAAGGGAATCACCTGCACGGATGGACAACTTTGGTACGAGCACCGCCACTTCGCCATGAAGCAGATGCGCCACGTGGGCTACGGACGCAGCCAGATGGAGCACCACATCGAACTGGAGGCAGAGGAGCTGCTGGGCCAGCTGGAAGGCACGGAGGAGCAGCCAATCGAGCCGGTCACCTGGCTGGCTCAGAGTGTGCTCAATGTGCTGTGGTGCCTGATAGCTGGGAAGAGGATCGCCAGCCAGGAGGATGGAACTCTGCGACGCCTTCTCGACCTGATGAATCGGCGCTCCAAACTCTTCGACATCTGCGGTGGTCTGCTGGCCCAGTTTCCTTGGCTGCGCCACGTGGCCCCCGATCGCACTGGCTACAATCTCATCCAGCAGCTGAATACGGAGCTGTACGGCTTCTTTATGGACACCATCGAGGAGCACCGTCGACAACTAACAAAGGATCCGTCTCAGGCGGAAAACGATCTTATCTTTGCCTATCTCCAGGAGATGAAGGATCGCAGTGCTGGTGGCGAGAACAGCAGCTTCAACGAGACGCAGCTGGTCATGACCATCCTGGATTTCTTTATTGCAGGCTCTCAGACCACCAGTAATACGATCAACCTGGCCCTTATGGTGCTAGCCATGCGACCGGATGTTCAGGAGAAGCTGTTCGCCCAGGTGACCGCCAGTGTGGCTGCAGCCAGCTCAGATGCCTTTCCCCACTTGAGCCGGCGGGAGTCGTTTGACTACATGGACGCCTTCATCATGGAGGTTCAGCGTTTCTTCCACATCACACCGATCACGGGTCCCCGCCGAGCTTTGTGGCCAACCAAGCTGGGTGGCTACGACATTCCCAAAAATGCCACCATTCTGATCAGCTTGCGTTCCGTGCACTTGGATAAGGAGCACTGGAAGGATCCTCTGGAGTTCCGCCCGGAGAGGTTTATCGATTCAAATGGCAAGTGCTTCAAGGACGAGTACTTCATGCCCTTTGGCTTGGGCAGACGTCGTTGTTTGGGCGATGCTCTTGCCCGCGCGTGCATTTTCTCGTTTCTGGTGAGGATCGTGCAGCATTTCAGCATCGTCCTGCCGGCGGGCGAGACTCCATCGATGGTACTTCTGCCCGGGATCACACTGACTCCAAAACCCTACAAGGTGCAGTTCGTCAAGCGCACCTAAGTGCATCACTGGATTCTACGGTGTCGGTAATAATATTGGATATATTTCGGTGTTTAGTTAATGACAGAGATGGTGCTATAAAATGTACATTAGGATATTTCAGAGGACTCCGAAAATTAACTAAACTATGGGGTTATAATGAAAAATTTATGAGGTTTGACTTGCAAATATTTTGTATCCTTCCCAAAAACAGGTGTGTTTAATTCTCTAGATAGATGTTCAAATTAATGCTTAATCAACGAATTGTACTGGATAGTTGTGGTCTAGTTGTTCTTTATTGATGTGTCCTCTAAATTAAGTTACAATGTTGTATAATTTAATCAAATTTACATTCAGCGATATGCGTAACAAAATCAAATAAAACGTTTTAATTTAATCGTTATCAATATCGTAAAGTACGTTGTTTTTATGAATGTATAACAACACCATGTCAGGGTCTCAACGTAATTGGGCTTAATGAAAAATATTTACAAACTCAATCTGAGAAAATCAAAAACATATACAATGGGTTGTATAACATATTAAATTAGTATATACGAACTAGGTGGAAGCGATCTCGCCAGCTGGAGAAATGCTTGAGTAAGGTAATGGTTGGTCCTGGACCACTTCGAAAATTATAGTTTCAACCGCTGAAAATATATGCAGACGAGTATGTGTAACAAAGAAGAACGATAACGAGCCGACTGAATGACCAACTTTACTTAAATGCTAGTAGTGACTGCACTTAGGCATCATGCCCTCTCTTGCGACCCATGATTCGTGCCCGTGCTCTGGCCTCTGTTTAAATCCTGGCAGGCAAACCTTCGCCTTCTGTAGTGTGTGTGGTGTGTTCAGAGCTTTAGAAGGATTCGCATTTGAATAGTGTTGATGATGTCGGGCCGGGTAAGGTGCTAAAAGTTGAAGCCTGTGCTAGGCATGTTGTCCGGATTGAACTCGAACTGCTGTGTGCCCGCCACGGGGGCCACCCGGCTGTCCTCCTCCTCGTTGCCAAAGTACTGCTCGATAATGTAAAACGATTTGTGGTAGATGTCGCGGTTTTCGTGCGCTTGCAGATACTCAATCTTGTCCAGACCTGTAGCAAGGATTGCGGTTTTAGCATGTAAATCGGTTCCTAAACAAATTCACTTACCTCCGCATTCCTCGATGGTAATGGCATAGGGATTTGGTCGTGCCTGGAACTTTTCGCCCGCCTTCAAGATGTTTTCTAGAGCATTCAGCGCCACCTGGACAATGTCCGAGTCGACGACGGTGAGGAAATCGCACATAGGAGGCACACAGCCCACCTGAACCAAGTAGTTTATCTGCTCGGAGGTTCCGCTGCTGGTGGCGTTGGTAATGGCCCAGGCTGCCTCCTTTCGCGTTTTGAATTCTGCCGTCTGCATAATAGTCATCAGCTGGGGGAATATGTTGGCGTTGATTATGGCCTGAATCTGCTCCCGATTCCCTGCTGCTATATTCGAGATTGTCCAGCAGGACTCCTTCTTAATGGTTTCCGCCGACGAGCGCAGCAGGTGGCTAATGCAGGGCAGGGCGTTGTAACCCAATATCACCTGGGTCTGCTGATCGTCGCCGGTCACAATGTTGCCCACAGCCCTTAGGGCGGCTGTGCTTACGTTGTGCTGCGGATGTCTGTAAGCAAGAATTCATAAGTATTCGGGTAATTACTAATGCAGGACCACTTACAGTAGCAGTTCTACCAAGCGACGACAAACGCCAGCATCAATTACAGCTTGGATTTTATCGTTGGGTCCATCCGACAAGTAGCTTATAGCCCAGCAAGTGTCGCTAAGCACGTCCGCATCAGTGTAGTCCAGTAGCCGAGCCAGTATGGGCAGTCCATGGACGATTTTCGCAAAGTCCGCGGGTGGGTTCTTACCGCGGCAGAGATTAGAAAGCGTCCACACCGCATTCCGTATCATAGTAATGCGCTCCGAGTTGCTTAAAACGCTGCAAAAAGTTCAACAAAATGTTACAAATATGTGGGAATAAAACCAAGTCATTACTTACTTCAAAAGAGGCATTAGAATGCCAGAGCCGAGTAGATGGTCCCGGCACACGGGTGAGTCCCCGGCTATATTACCCAAGGCCCACACAGCCTGCTCCTGGACATCGTCATGGGGACTGGAGAGCAAATCAATAAAAATGGGCACTGCCCCGGCCTCGATAACGATCTTGGTCTGGTGCGAGGTGCCTGAGGCAATGTTCGTCAGCGTCCAGGCGGCCTCGAACTGCAGAGTGGCATTAGAGCTGTTTCGCAGAAAGTTGACAAACTGCGGCACAATCCCCTTCTGGATGACCTCCTCGATGGGTGGATTGGGATCGCGGGACAGCAGCTTGCGGAATTTTTGTGTGGCCTCCAGCTGGTCGCTCTCGCGTCCACTGTGAAGCATCTGGATCATTTCCTCGTTAATCACGGAGGGCAGAGCTCCGGTTCCGCCTGCTGGCTCGTTCTGCCCGCCCGGAAAATGCGTTGGTCCGGTACTGCTGTCAGCCATGTGCATGTCAGCAGCCTGGAAAGCAAGGGGATTCAGGATACGCAGGATTAGATAATGGTTTGATATGAACCCACCTGCAATTCGTTGCTGGCACAGCTCTCCATTCCGGCTGATGTCGAGGATGTGGCCGGCTCCAGGACCACATTGCGGCGCTTGAACAGCTGCTGTTCGCGCTTGTTCTTCCGCAACTGGATGCCAACCTCCTCGCGACGTCGCCGCATCTCTGTGGAGTCCAGTGCGGTATTTTTATAACGCTGTTTGTGGGTGGTGGACATGTCGTCGTCTTGGCAATTTAAAAACTGAAATTAGAGCAGAAAAAAAAGTATGACAGGTTAATGACTACAGATTGTCAGATATTGAAACCCAGTTAACCTTGCTGTTCTAAGCAACTAAAAAACCGCTAATACCTTAACAAAAAGCTTAAATTGTATTGAATAATTTAAGATCCAAAACTAAACTTATAGGTCTTAATGGAGAGGAAAAAATTCGGATGGAAAGTGAATAATCATGACTGGGTTTTCTCCGATATTCCCATCCAAATTCCCAATCCACAGCTGGATTTTGAGACCCTGAAACTAAGCATCAGCTCAGCGCCTGCACTTAAGTAATCCCCTCATCTCTAGGAAAGATTACGTTGCTTGCCCCGTATTTTACATATAATATTTAATGAACTATTCGGTTTTCCTGGCAAAATGCACAATCACAACACTTTCACATTTCATTGTGTGTGCACATTGCGTGCGTGTGTATGGGTGCGGGCTTAGGTCAGCATTACGAATTTCTAGAGCTCCCGGATACGCCCTTCACTGGACCTCCACTACTCCCGGATAATAGCGCCAGCGCCACGTAATTGGTGTACAATTTACCTGTTCCAGAGAATCCTTTCCGCGTTTTAATCATGCAAAGAGACTGGGAAATTTTACTTTACACGTTTTAAGGAGCGCGGTTGCCAGACTGTCGGGAATGCAGTGCACACAGCTGTTGCGTTATCGATAGCCATGAGCACCGATAACAGTCATTCCAATCCAATTGCAATTTAAACATGAAGGAGAAGAAATCTAAGAAGAAATCCCGCAAATCGGCCAATAAGCCCAAGGAGACATCGGATTCGGAGAAAAGATCATAGAGCTGATGCACGAGTACAACGACCTGAAGGATGCCACTCAACTGGTCCTGGGAGCCTTGGCGACCCTGAAAAGCGTTCCCATCCGGTCGGTTTATGCCACCTACAGTCTGCCCAGAGACGAATAAAAAGGATTTCTTTGGGGTGTAGTCTTCATGTACTTGATGTAAACAACTTGAAAAACAACCAAATGCATGTAAATGCCTCCTGGTTTGGCAGTTCCTTTAGTCTACCACTAATAAATCCACCTAAAACTAGTTATTGCATCTCGTGGCACCTACTGGCCAACGTGGAAATAGGACCGGCATCGCTCGTTGAAGGTCTTGTAGGTGCGCTCCTTTATGATGTCCTCCACATTGAGCTCGGCCTGAAGAACGCGTAGCTTGAGAGGATTCGGGACATTAGTTAAAGTTAATGGTTATCTAGCCAGGAGGATACCTTGCGCTGCTCCGCCTTAAACTGGCTGTCCGCGTCCACATCATCAGGATGGGCTTCCCGCTTCTCCCTCAGCTCTTTTAGATTATTGGCCGATATGGTAATGCAACGGCGAATGCTATCTTGCTGCAAGGAGGCATTTAGTTTCGTGCGATCCGCAGGTGTGATATTTGATAGGGAATTACTCTGGACTGATGCGACTGCTGGAGTTTTGAGTAAAGGTCGCGACAGGTGTTCTCGCTGTTCACCTGGCCCTTGAACGACTCCGTGGGCAGGGCGTTAAGTGCATATATAATCTTGTCGTCAACATCTCTCATCTTCTTCAGCGCCTCCTGTTTGGGAAGTTGAAGGCATGTAGTATGACAGCTAATAACTCACTTAACCTCGTTGTGAACCCACCTGGAAGCCGAGAAAGTCCAAGCACAAAGCCGCCATTCTAAAGAGCTATTAAAACTAGTAAGAACTTTTTAAAATATTAAAAACAAAATGCAATAAGTAAAATGCCGGCGCAATGTGCCACTGGCCGGCGTTGCCACCTGAGGTGAGCAATCGCCCACCAACTATCGACTGATCAAGTGGTTGCCCATCGCTAAGTTATTGTGGATTATTATTATTATTAATCAAAATAAACACAAGGATGCCGCTCAAATCCGAGGATATCCACGAAAAAATTAAGATTGGCGTCTACAAGCTAGCTGTGAATGACAAGAGCACTCGCAGCACTGTGTGGCGGGTGTATCGCAAGATCCAGAAGGACGATGGCAGCTTCCTGGAGCACGTACTGTTCTGCGTTGGCTGCAAGAGCATTATGTCCTTCACCCACAAGTCCACGACGAATCTAAGGCGGCACCGGTGCCACCTGCAGTACCTCAAAAAGCATGCCAGAATGCCAGGCTGCAGATCTGGAAGTGAATCTAGTGAGAGGAGGGAGGAACCCGATCTGGAGGCCAATAAGGAGCTGGACGACCAGCAGTCCATGTCGGATGAGCTGGACAGGAAGCCCACTGCCGCCGATGTGGCCGCCTTTGTGGCCGGAGTCGCCAGTGGCGGGGATTCCGCCCTAGTTCCAACTCCAGCCAAACTGCCGGACATAACCGAGCTCCCGCTCGACATCAGCGGAGCCGAGGAGTCCAATATCTACGCCCAGACCTGGTCCCTGGAATACCGCAAACTCAGCGAGGACCAGAAATTCTATGCCAAAAAAGCTATAGACGAAATCCTTGTCTTGGGCAGGCTGCGTCGTCTGACACTGAACACGGTGCCGACGGCGGAGTAGAATAGTTAAGCAGGATCTTCATCAGTTAAGCTAATTTTATATACCTTGTACATATTGTATTTAATATAGAGCCCCATGGTCTCGGAAATAACGCAATAAAATCTTTGATATTTAAAATATACCTCATTCTTTGGTTCCTATTTAAAGCAACTATCGATATATCAAGAAAATATGCCATCCCTATTTCGAGCTTCTCTTTGTTGCACTTGTATTTTATTTATAACTTTTATTTTGGAAAAATGAGTGATCTTAAGAGGCGACCACTGCACCACGATACGCCAAGGACTCTTTCCCAGTCGAGGGACGAGGTAGACCAGAACAATACCTTAATTTTGGAGTCCGCAAACAGCTACGAAGAAGGCACCTCCTCAGCCGGCGAACAGGAAGAAAGTGAATCCCAGGAGCAGGAGGAGGCTTCTGAAGACGAAAATCTGTCCAGGAGACATAGTATTCCAACTCCCACGCCGAGCTCAAAGCAGGAACAACACCATTCCATTAACGAACAACAAGGAATGAATGGACTCTCCATTAAACTAGCCCTTGCAGGTGCTCTATTCGGATTATTCTTCGTTTACGTTTGGGGAGGATCGAGCGTTATAGGGGAGAAACAATGTGCCTTTAAAAGTCTTCGGGGAAATCACCCCCAACAACCGGAGATAGTCTGGAAAGCCCTGCAAAAGGGAGTCGAGGGATTGATAAACAAGAAGGCCAAGCACCCCAGTGTGTTCCTGTTCCTGCATCAGAATCCCAAGCTCCAGAAGTTGATTGATGCAATTGCCGTCGAGGCATCTGCCTGTTATGGTAAGAAAGTATAAAATAATATAATAAATATAAAAATATTATTAATAGACTAAAAAATCAACAAAAATATGACTTTTTTCTCTTTGTAGAACCATCTCGATTTTATATTATTAACCTTTATAACAAATATATCGCAGATAATTTAATACAATTAATTTTGCACTTACCATTTCAACAGGTGGTCCCCGCCAGCTGATTCACATGAAAAAGGAGGACTTCGGCCCGGGTATGAAAGACTACGGATTGGCAATTGAGCGTTTCAAGGCAAATGTGAAAGAGGGAAAGGTTTTTCTAATAGTGAACCTCAATGATGTGAGTTCCATTAGCTATATTATTTTGCGATATCACAAAGAGCTTCCTAACCTACAGATTGCACCGAGTGGAGCTCGTGCTCTGCACACAATCTGCGATACCTACAGCCCCATCGTGGAGGATGCTGTCATCTTCCTTACACTCCGCACATTTAACACAACAGCCGTGAGCAACTCCGTGCAGCTGGCCACGGATACCCTGTACGATCTGTGGGCCAAGGAGCTGGGGGACAACGAGCTGGATCCCCTAATTACACGCGTCACCGATCAGGTGCTCCATTTGAGAAGTATTAGTTAAGCTTAAATTCTACCTTTTAAAATCTCAATACTTTCGATGCCCAAGTACTGGGTCTACTAAGCTCAAAGCTATAAATGAAAAGAATTTAGCTAGACCATCAATGATGCTTTTTTAAATATTAATTTTACAGAACTATATTCTGTTCTACAGTTGTTTTATGTTAAATTAAATAAAATCATTTAAAGTACAGACTGCTCCTGACCTTTCCACAGTTCTATGGCAAATGTGAGGAGACTGCAGATCATGCCGAAACACCAAAGCAGGATCAATCCAATAAAGTTGTCGATGCCCAGTTGAACGGGTCCAATATCTAGGTTTGGTCTCTGGGAGGCCACAATGCGATTTTGTCGGTGAGCGTTCATGTAATCGGCGGCGATCTTCCACTCCCAGAATTTGTCAAAGCCAGAGGAGTGCCAAGCCAGGATGAAATCGTTATAGGCATTTAAATGGGGCCACAAGCGAGGCACAAAAGCTACCGTGAAGGCGAAGTAAATATCATCAACCATTAGTTTTAAGCGCTCCAAGGCGTCGTTTTCGATGAGCTCAGTGTTCCCCAAATGACCAAATTGCATGCGCTCTACAACAAATCCCATTTGTTCCGTATGCGAATAGGCGGATATTAAGGACGCATCGTAAACCCGGTAATGCTCCATCAATCCAAGCAGAACTGGCTGTGAGAAAGTTAGGGAAGTTTTGTTAAAATTATATTAAACTAATGAATCTCTTTTTTAGAATCTTTCACTTACGTCCGCTGAGCGTTCATCAATGGTGGTAATCCAGGCCTGTGAAGTCCCTGTCCAAATGAGCTTATGGTCGAAGAGGCGTTGCCGTGAGTCTGCTGCCTCCTCCAGAGTGGGTAAAGTGAGGATGGCCGCCAGACCGCCACTATACACGGTCGTCAAGATAATGTCGATCATGTAGCTGGCCACCAGCACGGTTCTTAGAGCATACGAACTAGTCACATAGCTGGTGCCCTGGCTGACGAAGAGTTTCAGTGTACTTATGCAACCGAAACGCAGACTATCCATCCAGGAATTGAAAGGCGAATCCGCGTAGTGCTCCCAGCGACGGGTCACACATAGAGCCAAGCTCTCGAGCAGCAAACAGAGCATCACGCACATCCATAGGGCTGTCTGAAATGGTCGGAGCAGGAGGGTCCAGCTGATTAGGCGATTCGGAGCGGGAACCAGGCAGGTTACTCCAGATCGACCAAGGAAATGGGTCATATCCATATACTGATATGCCTCGTACCTAGTTAAGAAAAATAATAGTTTAGTTATTCAGAACTCATTATGAGTGTTTTTAAAGCCAACAATTTTACCATAAATACATGCCACCCACTCCATAGTCGTTTCGTCTATCGAGCACCATTCCCACAAGACCATATCCCGAGCCGTTCGGATAGATATCACCCCAGTCAGTTTTTTCAGCTGTGCATTAAATCAGGGAACATTCATTATAAATGGTCATTAAAAAATATACATTTTTTCACCAACATGTGTCCACCTGAATGGTGCAGTTATACAGCTCGCAAAAAGTAAGCATTAGTCGAATTTCTGTTCCATCGATAGCTACTTCAGTTGTGTTCTCGGAGCGATCATAAAAAAACGGGTTTCTTTCCTAGCTCATAAGGAAACTTAAAATAATTTAATTTGTCGCAAACAAAAGTTGAAACTTACATAATCCAATAACATGAAAGGTTTATAGTCGAAAATGCCTATGACTACCTCGCGTCCCTTAAGGTTTCTCATCTTAACGGACAAGTCGCTTTTCGTCCTAACATCCCAGATAATCTCGTCGTTCTCGGCATCGTACCGCTGAAGCAGGTCAAATTCTACAAGTCCTGGGTTCGTATCAAAGTTTCGCGGTCCCACAAATCGGTTGGTTTTAATGTCAAAAATGCTTGAATTGAGATATTTTGAGGTCACTAATAAAATATTAGGTTGATCTGCAATTTTAAAACATTTAAAGCCAGTGTTGCATCTTATGTACTAAATATCTTCAACCTTGTAATATATATCCAAGCAAATAATTATCGTTTTCTTCTATCAGCTCTTCGGTGTAGACAAAAATAAAACGATTTCGCAGCGATCGCCAAACGGAGTACCTACTGGCGTGATAAAAAGAACTTGCAAACTTTGGAATTTGCTCCTGAAATACTAAAAATGTCTTAAATAGAACAAGAAAGATAATTATATAACTTTCTAAAAAAAAGTCTTGTTCTTAGATCTAAGATTAAGGCGTTGGGCAATTCATAAATTTTAATTGATTTGTGTTACAAATTTGTACAAAAAATAGTTTTCCTTCCAATTAGAGTAAAAGTAAGGTGAACAATAAGCAACTGAAAGAAAATTTAATTTATCTTCAATGTAACAGTGCATATGAGTGATTAACTTTAAAGTTTATCACTCATACGCACTGTTGCCCTTTATCAAATTTATTATTTTTATAGACATAGGTGGCCTCGACTTGGGGGAAAGGAAGTTCGATGTTCAAACTCAAACTTCGGGATTTTAACCAAAAATGTTAAAAAATTTGGGGAGGGGAAATCGATTTTTTAAAAAGCGGAATACTTGTCGTATGAGTAATTTTTTAGGGAACTTTTAGATAGTACCAAAAATAAATTTTTGTTTTCAAATACATTTGAGGGGGTGAAAATAAGAATTATTTTTTTGGACCGCTTAAATACATAATAAAGTAATAAAAATAAAATTATTGACTAGGTTAAAAGGGCAAGGATTGTATGATAGTATCGTTTTTTAAAAATAGCGGAAAAACCGAAAGGTACATCAATGCTTAATGTATCGTCAGCTGCTACGTTGTTATCGATAGCAAAGAAAATAAAAGAAAATCTGTTGCTTCCGTGGAAAATACAACAAAATATTAACTAAAATTCATTTCAAACAAATCAGTCGAATTCAAGTAGCAATGGACAAACTTGGTTTGGGCTGTCCCTTTTCGTTTCTGGGCGGAAAACAGCAGGAATCGAGTGGCGGACCAAGCTTCCTGGATCTCAACTACGAGATCTACTTGGAGATATTTTCATCCCTGAGTTCTCTGGAGGATCAGCTAAATTTGGGCCGTGCACACCCACTGTTCCGGAACGTGCTAGCAGACTTTCTGCGAACGCGCTACAAAAAAATCAATGTGCGGATTCTGAAAACCATTCCGGACTGGGAGTTCCTATTGCAGCTGTGCGGTTCCGAAGTGTCCAGATGTGACGTGCCCCACGGTCGCTGGGACGAGCCCTTCACCTACCCCTTCCTCGACCTCCTCGGACGCCACTGCCCCAATCTTCGACAGGCAGTCATCATATTCATGCACGCCGACACAGACACGCCGCCGGAAACGGGGGACAGGGGCCATATCATGCAGCAGCTCCTGGAGCTACCCAGTCTAACCGATCTCACCCTGATTGATCCCAGATCTGCACAGCGTTAGTATAATAGAAAGCTCCTCAGGCGAATAATATATAATGTCATATTATTATGTATCATAATTTATGATACATAGATCTGTTAAAATTCTGAAAGCATTTCATTTATTTAAATATTTTTATAAACCGTTCAGAAGTTAAGAAAAAAAACATAATGTTCATTTTTTTTTTTAGGAAAAGTGGTTCGCCTGAGAAACTTTTTTTTGTTTTCTGTAATCGACGTCAAACTTATTCTTTAGTAGATCAATTAAGACACTTCACTAAGCTGCAGATCTTGGACCTTGATGGAATCGATCGAAACCTCAGTGACCACGCCTTTCAGCAGATGTTTGAAAATAAGATCAGCGTGAATCGACTACTGCTGAACTTCGGCCGGGATCACAGGAGATCCCGCCAAATGGCCCAGCTGGCAGATAAGTTTCCGAACTTGGAGCACCTGACTCTCGAAAATTTCGATGTGAACTTTACGGAGTTGGGTGAATTTAAAACTCTCCAATCGCTGCGATTAATATCCCGATGGAAAGTGGAAGTGTGCAATGAGTTCTATAGATCGGTCGGCCGGCGCATAGAGAACCTCCAAAAGCTACAGCTCATCTCAGTTCGTGTTAGAGGCGACCAAGTGCATCACTTTCTGGCAATTAGCCAACTGAGAGCTCTGGATTGCGACAACTGGCCAGCTCAGTCGGTTGAGCAATTGGGTCAGTTAACAGATCTCGAGTGCCTGGCCCTGGATTGCATTGGATCGACGTCGAACGCAGGTCGTCAACTCCTATCCCTAATAAGAAACTGTTATAAGCTAAATCACCTAAAGCTGGGCAAACATTGGCAAATGCCCATCAATGATGTAAATACATTTCTGACCAAAGTGCCGGACTTACGATCGGATCCGAAAAGTAAACTTCTGCTTACCTTCGACTTTATCAGCATACCGGATACTCAAGAAGAGGTATTACCTTTGTATATACAACTTGGATATTCTATCATTTTAAAAGCATTTAGTTGGAAAATCTTTTCAGGGATCATGAGCATTTGCGAGTCTCCTTTAAAGGTACAACTTGCCACCATTGTCAGCCCGACACCCACTCTAAATGCGATACCATCTTTGACTAATGTTATTTTACCCAAAAACTCACCTCACAGTGGGAAGCTTCTATGGCAACAGTTAGTCTTAGAATCCAATCGTTGTAGCCAATTCCCTTTTCCTCAAACTCATCTCTTTTTCCTTCGTAATCATAAACATCCTTGCCATCGTCAAACCATCTCTGTGAGTCCATAATGATTAATGGTAGCGGCTCAACCGTTTCCAGGAGAAAATCAAACGATGGATTCCACAAAATACAAGTAGCATGTGAGTCAGTAAAATATTGCTGAGCTAATTGTAACTATTAAAACCTATAACGTGGTTAAGTATATTTAAAAACTTGCCAAGAAAATTAAGAACAGTATTCCAGTAACTAGGCTCCACCCATAAGACGGTCATTTTAACGCAATGTTTATTTTCTGTACCATGTTTATAAGAATTCAGTATTATTAAAAATTATTGTGCTGTGTTAGTTGTCTTAATAGTAAAAATAATAATAAATGTTTGAACGAACTTAGGTTCTAAAGTACCTGCCGAAGGGGTTTCTTACTTAACGGAGCCTCCGCTGACGCAAATTGAGTCGACAAGTCAATGAATAATCCATTTTATTAAGGAAAAGCGAACGATTTTCAGAATTCAACAATAGGTCTTCCATACATTAATTATTTAGCAAATTAAGTGCATGCACAACCAGTAAAACGCATTGATAATCTGTTAAAATATTTATTATTATAAATATGTCAAACCTTTACGGTGTGTATTAAACAAATACGAATTTCCATACTAAATAAGTTTTGAATTACAATCTAAGCATATTGGGGCGGGAAAACAAAGGGGAAAGCGTAAATTAAAGAGGCCTAGAGTGTTCCACTTTCGTGGGAGAGAAGGGGAATAATTTGCTCGAAATTCCATCCCTGGTTCTGGTTACTTATAGCTAAAATCCTCCACGACTGTCTTAACCTTTCACGCTACCAATGCCGTTGCCCAGTGATTTCATCAGCTGGTAGCATTCTTTCAGCTTTCGCTTGTCACCCACCTTCTCCAGCGTCTTGGCCGCCTCAGCCAACATGCCAGCACGTTCGCCAGGGGAGCTGAGCAGTGCGTTCGGTAGATACTTGCAGGCCACAAACATGGCATTCGCGCGCTCTCTCTCCCCTCCCTCGTAGTTCTGATGGCGCCGATCCTTGCTGCCACAGAAAATGGACGAGTGGGCGTAACGCGATCGGAGACTCCTGTCCAGAAGCTGTTGCGTTGGACAGGGTGATGCTCCGGCCATCAGGCGACAAACAGCTTCGTACAAATATATCCTCGGTTGGGCGTTCTGTTATGGATAATGTCAATTATTTATCTTTAAATTTAAAAATGCCATAACCAAAATATACCGGTATATTTTCCACAATGCTGCGCAGCGAATTCAAATCCGTCTGGAACTTCTCGAGCTCATCACCGGGCACTTGGTAGAAGCCATCATCTTCCATGTTCATGTGCTCAAGCTCCCACAAAGTGGTACGAGTTTCAAGCAGCCAATCGCAGGTGAGCAATTGGAAAGTCTGCGAAAATAAATAATATTAAAATAGATATATTTATATTTAAACTAGGTGACTTTTGCCAGAGACAGTTGGCGTTGTTTGTAAAATGCACAGAGCTTGCACTGAAGTTGTATTGCCTGAGGCAAGTGGAACAGACAATGCGACTACAATGCACCTCCGTGTCATCTCTGGATGAAGAGTCTGCTGGCATTCGGTCACCATTGGCTAACTAATCGGGCTGCAGACTTTCTTACCAGCTTTATGGCTCTGGCGTTGGTGATCCTATTGACAGTCAGACATTCTTGGAGCTGTGCACTCGACTCGTCGCATAGCACGTTGACCGATTGCTTCAGGCCTTTTTCCAGAGCGTTTCCATTGTTCCTGCAGCGATTCACAATCATTAGTTTTTCTTTTTTAAAGTAGTTTGATTTCTATTTGCTTACTTTAGTAGGATCATCTTGGCTCGAAGCACGGCATGCAGCGCCCTGGGCAGATGATCGTTTTCGTTGAACTGTTCCAGCTGTGCAGGCATTTGCTTGATGCTATCGTATAACTGCTCTGCCAGTGTATCTTCACCAAGGAGCCAGTGAACTGCGATCTCCAGGACATTTGCCCACCACACAACATTAGTATCGCGCTCATCCTCTTCGGCCCACAGTGTGTCCCTCAAGAGCGAGGTGTACTTAAGAACATTGCTAACGATAGTGCCGCTGTGTTGCTGTTGCTGCAGGGGCTCCGTCTCCCTACCCGCTGAAGAGGTGGGCACACCGCCTGACGCTTTTCCGGCTCCCACCAAGCACTGAATGGCCTTAAACAGCAGATGTTCGCGGTATTGCTAAGGAAAAGGAAATATTAGTTAGTTTGGAATATTGTAAATATAAAATAGTTCGACCAACCCACCTTGACGACATGGGCAGCGGGGTCACAAGGATTCCTTAGGCGTGTGAAAAAGCCATCCTTCTCGCCGGAGTCGTTCAAGTCGTAGCTAAAGACGTGCGTACTGCAGTATCGATATCCATAGGCGCTGAATGCCCAACGCAACTCCTGCGTTTGCTCGGCAGCCCGGGTGCGACTGCACTCTTGACGAGCCCGGCTCATGTAGTAGCGAGCAAAAAGCTGCTGTAGCCACTTTGGGGCACTGCGCTTCATTCGTAGCGCCGTCATGACGTGGATGCAGATGGTCTCGCGCGGAGTCAGCAGATTGTGAGCCACTTCAGCCATGTTGCTAGCAAAGAGGGCCATCATTATACCATTCCCGTCTCCGCGGCTTCCGTTTCCAGTCAGCTGCAGTTGATTCAGTCGGTTAAAAAGGAGCGCCAGTTCTCGTGCCGATGCCAGCGCCTGCTTCCGGCTGGTGGCATTGCTGAACAGTCCTCCCGTTCGACGAGACAGCACCCGGCCCAGCCAGAGGCGATGGAAAAGAAACCGCAGAAACTGCCAGGTGGTCTGCAGATAGCACTCCACGCGTGACGTCGGCAGACTTAGTCCAAACATATGCAAACAGTTGAGGTAACCGGCGTAGGCCTGAGCAGCCTGTCCTTGGGCAAAGTGGGAGTCAGCCCGCTGCTTGTGCTGCCAGTAGGCATCCGTCTGTGGATCAAGTTGCGGATCGCCGTAAACCAGCAGCTTTACCAGACACCCGAACATTAGTAGCAAGTTCAAAAGCCATATCCAAGAGCTTTGCTGCCAACCAAAACCTTCACCTGGAGCAAACGATAATTATTAGTAGTGCTTTAGTATAAACTGGATGCCAAAACTTACCCCCATCCACGTCGTAAGAGAGAATGCGTCTTTGACCGCTAAGTTCACCAACATCGTCATTACTGCCATACTGGCTGTGCTGGAGTACCGTCTTGAAGGGATTGACGGCCAGGATGGCAAACATAAACATGCAGAGTCCCAGTCTAGAGTGGGTGGCCATGCCACGCATGGAGCTGGGCACCACCAGCACATCGTCATTGCTGCTGCTGCCACTGCTGCAGCTGCCGGTAGATCCGCCATAGGGCGACGGCGGCAGCGAGATATCAGAGTGCGTGGGCGAAAGAGAGGGATCGGATACATCGCTGCGCGGTGGGGTCAGCCCCGCATCCGTGGTGGTCAGCGAGCTCTCGCGACGCTTCTTGGAGGCTCGTCCAGGCCGCGTGCCCAGTTGCAGTAGATCCTTCACCTTGGATCCGTCGCGGGCCATCAGCTCCCGCTGCAGGCGCTGCAGCTCTGCCTTCAGATCGTGCGTCTGGCGTTGCAGATCCCGGATCTTGTCTATGGACTTCCGCAGCACTGCGGATTTGTTCAGTTTGGCCTGTTCGCCCACCACCAAGTTCTTCAGCTCATTTATCTTGTCGTTGATGGAGGTACGATAGCGCCGCTCGATGGCATTGTGCGCCGATCGTTTCACCTCCTTCACCTTGGGCTGCACCCGATTGATGGGCACCTTGCCCTGGACCTCCATGGTCGTGGGAGATGGTGCCAGAGGAGCCACTCGCACCTTGCTGGCCCGGCTACCAGTGCTGCTCGGCGATGGAGCAACAGGTGGAGACGTCTTTGGACTCGCCACGGAAGTCGTCGTCGTTCCTTCCATCAGCAGGGGTACCATTGTGGCAGGGATAACGATTCCGGGACTCGGTGCCATTGGTTGGGTGTATGTGATAAAGGGTTGCGGATGGGACTTCATGGCCAAAGGAGTGGCGGCTGGAACAATGGGCAACATGACATTCACATTTTGGGGCGATGACTCTGCCGGCGGCGTGGGCGGGGAAATGGACTGGTAGACAATGCTACCGCCCAAAGCTGGGGAAAAGACACCGGTGTTTGGCGGCAACCGCTGGGCGTCCATGTGGTGAATGGTGGCTGTGGGCTGACCCGCCTTCATCAGCGCAGGCTGTTGTTGCTGGGGGAGATTGTAGTTGGAGGCCATAAGGGGATCCGGCTTGTAGAGCAGTGGCGACTGCTGTTGCTGCTGCTGGAGCTCTTCCTTTATGTGCACCGGCGACGAGTGCTCGCTCTTCACGTGTGGTGGTTGCTCCACGGACGGTTGTGTCCGAGTTTCATCCATCTGCATCATGTTGTACATCTGCGCCTGCTCCAGGTCTATTTCGTTGAGGAAGCTGTCCAACATATCTGAGTGCAACACCTCGTTGATCATGTCGAAGGCGTCCTCCGCCTTGAACAAATCCATGGACTCGTCCAGCGGAGCGTCCATGAAGCTCATCGGATCATTATCCATCGCTTATGTCGCTGATGAAAGCAAGGAGAACATTTCACAATTAAATACTTTTGGTACACGTAAACTTCTAAGCGTCGCAATTACACAGCGAAAACAACAGTGGGACAAGACGTGATTTTTTGTACACACAAAAGCTGTTGCAATTGTAAACATAGATTTCGTAATATCGAAAAATTTGCTTTCAATCACTTTAGTTTAAGTATCGAATAACAATAAGAATAATATCGAACTTTTGTGACTTTTTTATTATTAAAAAGTAGATTTCATTGTCCAAAATTAAAATCAAGCAAG